AAGTAAGGTAAAGGTGAAGGTTCCCTTGCTCGAAAGCCAGTCGAGTCTGACTCTAGGGTTGCGGTGCTCATCTCCGTTTCAAAGCCGAAGAGGCAGCGCTGTCCGAAGACGTTTCCGTGGTCATGTGGCCGGCATGACTAAACACCAAGGTGCATGGAACGCTGTTACCTTTCCACTGAAGTGGTACCTATTTATCTACTTGCAATTTCTTACTTTCGAACTGCTAGGTTGGCAAAGTACATGGCTGTTAAATCCCAGTTTTCTGCATTATTGGCTGAATGCAGATTTTGGTTCAAATGGTTAGGCATTGCGCAAGACCGGAAGGGCGATCCGGAGAGACCTTATCTGTAGTACGCTGGGTGGCATTCTCCGCCTCTCCTCTTCCAAGCGGCACAACAAAGTCGGAATCTGAGATCAGGCAGGTGATGATGCAAACGATTAGGAGACCTTTCTCTACCGACTCGTGCCCTGTGGCAATTGTGCAACTAATGATTCCACTTTCCAGGAATGTCGTCTCCCTCCCGTTCTCCCCCATCCGCTTTCCCAGCAAAGCACACCTTTGAAGGCATAAAGAACATTACGCAATCTTCACAATAGTAAACCTGTTCCCTTTGAGAACGAGGCAGGTTCTCCCAGAAATTCCATCTGCCGGTAATTGCTGTTGTATATATTCCTTTTTTTCCTTTTTCTCTTTTGACATCGAGTCTCAGCCAACTTTTGGAGGGAGGGGCCCTGGCTCTGTGTCAGAGCATCTGCTCGGCATGCAGACGGTCCCAGGACCCAGGTTCAATCCCCAGCATTTCCACAGAAAAGGATCAGACAGTAGTTGATGTGAAAGACCTCTGCCTGAGACCCGGGAGCCGTGTTCCCTCTAAGCTGAGTGAGTGCGAGCTAGCTCACAGTTTTTGAGCCTCTGGCTGGCAAATTTTTGTCTTCGCTCGGGAAGGAGGGCTCCAGAGCAGTGTTCCCTCTAAGCTGAGTTAGTGTGAGCTAGCTCACATTCTTTTAGCCTCCGGCTCACACATTTCTGTCTTAGCTCAGGAAGGATGGCTCCAGAGCAAACTAATTTATGCAGTAGCCATATTGCTTGCTCACAATTTTAATGCCAGTAGCTCACAAAGTAGAATTTCTGCTCACAAGACTCGACAGCTTAGAGGCTACATTGCTCCAGGGCAAACTAATTTATGCAGTAGCCAAAGCGCTTGCTCGCAACTTTAATGCCAGTAGCTCGCCAAGTCGGATTTCTGCTCGCAAGACTCCACAGCTTAGCGGGAGCATCGCCCTAGAGAGCTGCTGCCAGTCTGAGTAGGCAATACTGAAAGTCTGGGATCAGTTTATAATGGCAAAAATTACGGATTCCCTGAAGAGAGCAAATAATAGTAATACCCCCACTTACACTACATTTGTTAGGATTTGGGCCCCAGTGTTAGATTATATGGTGACGAATGATTTACTTCCGACTAAGCAGATTTACCATAAATGGTTATATTTATAGCGTAGAGGTGATAAACTCGCAGTATTGCAATAGTGCTGTATGGTGTGTGGATAGATGTCAAACTGTTAGTAATTTGCCTAGATGTTATATGTTGAAATCTTGGACCGATATGTTTGTATTATTTGTAATGGGGTTTTTTTCAAAACAATAAAAAGAGTTGTTAAAAAAAAAAGAGTGATTCAGTATAAGGCGTCTTTGTGTATTCATGCGTGTTCATGACTTAATGGGAACCCGAAAGCGTTTCCAAGGCAAGAGACAAAAAAAGAAGTGGTTTGCCATTGCCTGCCCCTGTATAGAGACCCTGGACTTCCTTGGTGGTCTCACATCCAACTGCTGACCAGATGTCTGGTCTCCCCCAGGCCACCAGTGGGGGATGGGGGGTTGGGTTGCCAGATCCAGTTTGGGAAACTCCTGGAAATTTGGGGATGGCGCCTGGGCTGGGCAGGGACCTCAGTGGGATACGATGCCACAGAGTCCACCCTCCAAAGCATCCCTTTTTCCCAGGGGAACTGATCTCTGTAGTCTGGAGATGAGCTGTGATTCCACAGGGGTACCCAGGTCCCACCTGGAGGCTGGTGTCCCTAACCAGGACCAACCCTGCTTCGCTTCCAGGATCTGAGGAGATCAAGCCGCCCTGGGTCCTCCAAGTCAGGGTTTTTTTTGGGGGGGGGGGGTTTGAAAAAAAATTTTTATTCAGGATATAATCAATCAAAGTCAACATTTAGTTTTACATTTAAACCCTTTACATCCTACCCACCTCCCTTCCCCCAACCCCAACATGGCTTCCAACAGTGCTACGACCCCCTGTATATTGCTTAACCTTTTCTCCTCCATCCGTTTCCTCATTACAAGTTCACTAGGTAACTATCATTCTACTATTACAATTATATCTCTTTTCTTTGATGATGCTAAAAGTCAATATTCAATAGTTATTCAAGCAAGATAAATTGTCTCTTACATCCCAATATTTTCCCAGATAATCTTTTAAATCTCTCCAGTCTTTATAGAAATCTTCTGCTTCCATGTTATTACGTTTTCGAGTCATCTTGTCCATTTCAACCGAAAACAATAACTTTTTGATCCAGTCCTCAACTCTCGGGAATTCATCTTGTTTCCAACATTGAGCATAGGTCATTCTGGCTGTTGTTATCAGGCCGCCCTGGGTCCTCCAAGTCAGGGTTTTATTCCATTAACGACTTCATCATCTGCCCTGAAGTTTTACAAAGGGAGCGTATGCAACATATACCATTTGGAGAGCATCTATCCCATTGGTACTCTGCAGATTGTCCACATTTTCCGTTGCAAATGCTTTGTCCTTTATATATTAAAGCTTCAGGGCAGATAATGAAGTCAACTATAGCTGTTGTCGATTTCCCGGGTTGTCTGGCCGCGGCCTTGGCCATTGTAGGACCTGACGTTTCGCCAGCAGCTGTGACTGGCATCCTCAGAGGTATCACACAGAGAGACGGAGTACTCTCTGTGTCAAGGTTTGACGGAGAGTCCTCCGTCTTTCTGTGTTATACCTCTGAGGATGCCAGTCACAGCTGCTGGCGAAACGTCAGGTCCTACAATGCCAAGACCACCATCATACAGCCTGGAAAATCTACAACTAATGAACTCCGGCCGTGGAAGCTTTCGACAGCAAGTCAGCTATAAGTCGGCTACGCTCTGCCAGTTAAAATCAGCAGTCTCCCGTGGAGCAGTTTCCTTTAAAAAAAAATTAGCATGAGATCTAAAGTTAAATACTGAATGCAGTGCTACATCCTTGGATGGTTTCGGCTCCTTCGGCTCCCAACTGCATTCTTAGGAATATTTGTTCCCGGGAAATATCCTCTGACGTCAGCCCTGACTCAGCGATGTCTTGAAACCACGTCTCGCTCTCAGATCTGAAAAAGCGAGCAGCGACTCACAAAAGCGCACAAATTTGGTTAATCTTTAAGGTGCTACCAGGCTTTTGCTCTTTCCTATTGCTTTTGGAAGACGGGGGACGATGCCTTCACGTTGATAGTTCAGCATGCTGGGTAGAAGGCTAGTAATACAGTCTTGACATAGGACCACCAAGGGGGTTCAAGGCTAGTAATACAGTCTTGACATAGGACCACCAAAATGACTTGGCAACCAAACCGGCTGGGTTAACTATGCGGGCAAAATGACTGGGAGTAGAATAAAGACAGGGTAGCGGTGGCTCAGAGGTTAAGGCGCTGAGCTGCAGACCGGAAGGTCGGTTGTTCAGCAGTTCGAGACCTGAGTGCTGCGTGACGGAGTGAACTCCCGTCTCTGGCCAACCGAGCAGTTTGAAAGCAAGAAACTGCAAGTAGATAAATAGGTATCGCTTCGGTGGGAAGGGGACAGCGTTCTGTGCGCCTCGGCATTTAGTCATGCCGGCCACATGACCATGGAAACGTCTTCGGACAGCGCTGGCTCTTCGGCTTGGAAACGGAGATGAGCACCGCAACCCTAGAGTCGGATTCGACTGGCTTTCGAGCAAGGGAAACCTTTACCTTTATTAAATGAAAACATTTATTCCACTTCTCCAGGAGAAAATGACTGATTTGGAAGGGGGACTTCGTGGCATTATCCCTAACCGAGGTCCCTCCCTCCCTAAACCCGACTGTCCCAAGCTCCACCCTCCAATATCCAGGACTTTCCAAACCCAGAGTTGGCAACCAGTGTTCCCTCTAAGCTGAGTTAGTGTGAGCTAGCTCACAGTTTTTTTTAACCTCCAGCTCACACCTTTTTTGCCTTTGCTCAGGAAGGGATGGCTCCAGAGCAAACTGATTTATGCAGCAGCCAAATCGCTCCTTCACAACTTCAATGGCCGACAGCTCACAGAGTAGAATGTTTGCTCACAAGACTCCACAGCTTAGAGGGAGCATCGTTGGCAACCAATGCTCTCTCTAAGCTGTGGAGTCTTGTGAGCAAACATTCTCCTTTGTAAGCTACTGGCGCTCAAATACTTTGGCCACCCAATGAGAAGGGAGCACTCACTAGAGAAGACCCTGATGCTTGGAATGATTGAAGGTCAAAGAAGACGGGGACGGCAAAGGATGAGATGGTTAGACAGTGTCATAGATGCAACGAACATGAAGTTGAGCCAACTTCAGAGGACGGCGGAAGACAGGAAGGCCTGGCGGGATCTGGTCTATGGGGTCGCGAAGAGTTGGACTCGACTGTGCGACTGAACAACAACAACAACAAGCTACTGGCATTAAAGCTGTGAGCGAGCGACCTGGCTGCTGCATAAATTAGTTTGCTCTGGAGCCATCCTTCCTGAGCTCAGACAAAAATGTGTGAGCCGGAGGCTAAAAAACTGTGAGCCAGCTCACACTAACTCAGCTTAGAGGGAACACTGTTGGCAACCCTTTTGATTTCTAGCAGCCCTGTCAGAAAATCTAGGTTAACAGGTCAGGATGTTTGCCCAAGGCCATTTGAACAAGGAAGGGCATTTTGAAACCGATTTCATTTTCAAAGGCATCTTGTCTGTTTTTTGTTTTGCTTTCGCAGGAGAAAGAAGCAAAATGAAAGTAGCCCTGCTCCCGGGTATTACCTTCTGTCTCCTCTTCAGCTTTTCATCTTGCCACGCGACTGCAAACTCAGAGGACGAATATCCTGATGTCGCGGTTGGTAAGAGATTTGGCCATACAGTAAAACGTCTTGAATTGAAACTCCTCTTTCCCCCCCCCAGAGAACAGAGTTTGCATATGAGAGAATACAGAGTCAGTTCACACATTAACCTTTCGTGCTCATCACGACCATATGTTCTCTCATGTGAATGGACTGTTCACACGAGAAGTATCATCAGGAATTCAGCACAAAGCAGCTTCATGTACGTCTTCTGAATCGCAGCCGCTGATGTATTCGTAGTGCTTAAGTCCTCCTGGGGCACGCAAAATACTTCTTACGTGAGCAGACCCCCTTGCACAAGAGGAGGGCTAAAGAAATGAGGCCTTGAAAACTTCATGATCTGTTCTGCCAGTTTGGTATGAGAGCCAGTTTGGCGTAGTGGTTAGGAGCGCAGCCTCTAATCTGGGAGAACCGGGTTTGATTCCCTGCTCCTCCGCTTGCAGCTGCTGGGTGACCTTGGGCAAGCCATAGTTGTGTCAGAGCTGCCCTTGAAAGAGTAGTTCTCTCAAAGCTCTCTCAGCCCTGCCTACCTCACAGGGTGTCTGTCGTGGGGAGGGGAAGGGAAAGGAGTTTGTAAGCTGCTCTGAGACTCCAAATGAAGGGCGGAGTATAAATCCAATCCAATCTCCTCCTCCTCCTCCTCCTCTTCCCCTCCTCCTCCCCCCCCTCTATCTTTTTTTTTTCCTCCTCCTCCTCCTCCTCCTCCTCCTCCTCCTCTATGAAATCTTTTCTCCTCAGAGCCCCAGGACTTTGGCTCTTCAGATTAGGGCCCCTATCCTGTACATGGGTTGACTTGTTACTTAAAATACCGTGTGCTTTGATGGTGGTGGGAAGTCACAGCTGACTCATGGCGGCCCCTAGTGGGGGTTTGGAGGCAAGAGACGTTCAGAGGTGGTTTGCCATGGCCTGACTCTGTGTAGCAACCCTGGACTTCCTCGGTGGTCTCTAATGCTCCCTCTAAGCCTGTGGAGTCCGGTGAGCAAAAATCCTACTTTGTGAGCTCCTGGCATTAAAGTGGTGAGCGAGCCATTTGGCTACCGCATAAATTAGTTTGCTCTGGAGCCCTCCTTCCTGAGCGAAGACAAAAATGGGTGAGCCGGAGGCTAAAAAAACGGTGAGCTGGCTCACACTAACTCAGCTTAGAGGTAACAGTGGCTGGTCTCCCGTCCGAGTGCTGACCAAGCTGACCCTGCTTAGCTTCGGAGGTCCAACAAGACCGGGCTACTCTGGGCCACCCAGGTCAGGATAGGGTGGCTTGATAAACCACGGCGTTTCTTGGTTTTAGAAGTTGAGCTGCGGTGGATGAACTGCAGGCTGTGGAAGGTCAGTAGTTCAGCAGTTCAAGACCCGAGTGTGCCGCATGACGGAGTGAGCTCCCGTCCCTAGTTCCAGCTCCTGCCAACCTAGCAGTTCGAAAGCAAGAAATAAATAGGGACCACTTCGGTGGGAAGGTAACAGCTTTCCGTGTGCCTTGGTGTTTAGTCATGCCGGCCACGTGACCACGGAAATGTCTTCGGACAGCGTTGGCTCTTCGGCTTTGAAACGGAGATGAGCACCGCAACCCTAGAGTTGGATTCGACTGGCTTTTGAACAAGGGAACCTTTACCTTTACTTTAACTGCCACAGCAGAGTACTGCAAGTCTAGGCTACCGTACCTGTTCCTCTTCAAAGGACAGTTTTTGTCAGGATACAGTCGTCCTAAGGACTGGGGTGTATCCAACCATCCTCTAAGTGGCTTTGCTCCAATTGGGAGAACCGCTTATGTCGGAGGAAGTCTCCTGAGACTAGATAAAGCAGGGGTGTCAAACGTAAGGCCCAGAGAAAATAGCTGCCTTTGAGGGTGGTCTCGATGGAATCACATCCTTGCTGATTCTTAATTCTTAATAATTAATTAATTCTTAATTCAAGGTCGATGGTCGTATTGCAAACACCAGAGCCACACTTAGTAGAAGAAAAATATCTTTGCTATAAAAACAAAATAAAACATGGGTATGGTACTTTGGATAAAAGAAATAAAATAAAAGGTTACATACTTGCAGTTACTCTCAGTACTATATGCTAACAGCTACATCTTTCTATGTCTCTTGGCTTCTAGAAGAGAACTCCCGCTTTTGGTCCACACAAAGGGCCATACACTTGTGAATACATTAATGCTAGATCAAAGCATTTCTACAAAGAAGATGTTAGTTGAGCAATACAAAGGTTACAGGTGTTGTGTCCGCTGACCGCCACCGGAGGTCAGCGCACATACCTGAGCTTCAGTCCTGGAAGACAATGGGGACTAGGATTCTAGTCCCTCCACAGGGGAACCAATGGGAGCCATGGCGGGAGATTCAAACCCACCAATGGTGACCAGGGGTTGTCCCCACGTGTGTATATAGTTGGCCTGCCGGCCGTTTGTCCACATGTCTTGTTGTGTGCCTAATAAAGCGTGCTATGCACCACGTCATTGTCTGTCGTCCATCCATGCGGCAACCCACTACATAACAGTGGCGACGAAGGTGGGATACAGCCGCATCTGAGCCGGGCCGTTGTGAGGGACCAGGAGGACGCGAAGCAGCCAATCCGATGAGTGAACCATCGAACAACGAGACCGCTCCTCCCGCACCCCCACCGACGCGCACAATGGCTACCGCTCCTGGGCTGGGGCTGCTTCCGCCCTTCGACATAGCCCGCCCACAGGACTGGGCCTCCTGGGTCAGAGGAGCCCAATCTGCGCTGGAATTTTTTGATGTAACGGACGAAGGCAAGAAGAGGGGATTCCTCCTGGCCTCCTGCGGCACCGCCGTGGTGTCCCTGGCTGGACGGCTACTCTCCCCCACAGACCTCGGCGACTGCACCTTCGAGCAGATCGTCAAAGCGATGCAGAACCACTTCGCACCCAAACCCACCGAGCTGACTTGCAGGGTAACCTTCTACACCCGCAATCAGCTGGGCAGAGAGACCGCCGCGGAGTTCCTCGCGGAGTTGCGCCAGCTCGCAGCCGACTGCAACTTCGGAGCACACCTGGACGAGGCCCTCCGTGACCATATTGTCGTGGGCCTGCGAGAGGAGAAGCTCCGACGGAAGCTGATGGAGAGGGAGAAGGTCACCACAGCAGAGGCTCTCGCCACCGCAGTCGCGTGGGAAAGATTGCACGCCGCCCCGGCCGCAGCTCTCCAGGTCGAGC